GCGGACTCTGTTGAAGAAAGAGACTTTGGCGTCAGTGGGAAGACAGGTGCCCCCTCACTCCACGCCCGCCCCCAATTCTATTTTCGTTTTCCCCCCCCGCTGCCAGACAAATGCATTTTGGGGGGGTCCCTTCTTCTCTTTCCCCGGATTTTGTGAAGGGGGGGCGTTTGGCTGCCCAGCTGCGAAGCTTCCCGCCCCCCGGCCCTTCGAGGGCCAGACCCGCCCGTCGCCCCTTACCTTGGAACCGGTGGCCCAGATATCGGTAGCGGTGTATGAGCCAGGGGTAGAAGGTGGAGGGGTCCCTTTGTTGCGAGGCGAAGAGCGGGTGCGGGGAGTGCGCGGAGGGCAGCGGGTGGGCGGCCAGGGCGTGGGGCGGGGGCACGGGGTGGACGGGCACGGCGGCCGGGTTGGGCGGGTGCGAGACGGCCTCGGCGAAGACCAAGTCCGGGTTGGAGTAGACGCCGCGGCCGCCGGCATGGAAGCCGTTGAGGAAAGGGTTCATGGGGCTGGAGTTGGCGTAGCTGAGCGCCGCCGGCCGGATGGGCTCCTCGGCGCGGGAGGCGGGCAAGGCAGGGCTGTCTTTGGCCACCAGCGACTCGATGGTGAAGCAGCGCTTGGGGGTGGGCTGGAACATCCTGGCCGTCGGCGCCCGCCCGGCCGGGCCACTGCTGCTGCTGCTGCGGCTCCTCCTCCTCCTCCTCCTGCTGCTCCTCCTGGGGCTCCCGGCGAGACGATGGGGCCGCTCCGCCCGCCTAGATCCACGGGACACAGCCTGGCCGGTGGGCGAGCGGGGGCGGCAGGCACGCTGGCCGGCCACATAAAGGGGCCCGCGCCCGGGAGGGAGGCGCGCTCCGCCGCCGCAGCCCCGCGCGGCACCCTCGCCGCCTCCGCCGCCAGCAAAGTTGCGCCCAGAAGTTGTGTCCGGGCGGGCCCCCCTCCGGCTCTCCGGTCTGCTCCTCTCCTCTCCTCTCCTCTCGGCGCGGCGCCCCAGGCAGGCCCCCTCTAAGGGGGCCGGCAATCCATGGCGGCGGCGGCGGCGGCGGCGCTCGGGTCCCTTCGCCCAAAGTGGTGCGAACGATTTGTTAGTTCATGAGCCTAATTAGCGCGAGGATCACATAAACAGCTTCCTCTGAAGCCTGGTAAATGGCTTGATGATTGGTCGCTATTACTCGCCTTGAGGTGGAAGGGGGGAGACTCTTTAAAGTGCGTCAGAGGGGAGAGGCGAACTTCTGGCCGGCGCGATCCTGGAGGGATGGATCCAGGCCCGGACTGGAACGGACTCCGCCGCTGCAGACGCGCGCCCACAGCCGGCCGGCCGGGCACAGGCGGTGGCGACTCAGCCGAGGCAGACGGAGAAAGACGCGGCAGCGGCAGCAGCAGCCAGAGGTCCCGAGAGCCGCCTAGACGAGTCTCGCCAGGAGTCAGGTAGGAGCGGGGGAGGAGCTGCGAGGGGGAGACTCATGCTGGGGCTGGCGGGGGAGGGGGGAAAACCCAACTCGGTCGCCCCGGCTACAGAGGAAATCTGGCTCTGCCGGCGGAGTCGTGGTGATCGGTTCCCTCTCGCCAGGGGACCGTAGGAGTTTGTGACGCGTCGCCCCCTCCAAACGCCTCCCTCCAGCCCGCCCGCCCGGGTGCTGCCATCCCCCGCAGCGGTTCTCAGTCATCCGAGGGGGGGGGGGTCCACTTGCCCTTTCCGAAGAGCCTCCACAGACCGGAGTCCCCGCTCCCCAAGACTTTTCTCAGCAGAACTGGGGGGGGGGGCTTTTCAATGCCTTCTCGCGCTGTTCTGGCGAGCACAAATTTTTTTGGGGGGTGGGGAGCTCGAGCCGCAGCAGCGACGTGATTTGCGCGCAGTGAAGGCTCTTGCGAGGGGACGGGCGGCTCGTCCGCGGATCCGGCCTTGTCCACGTTTTCCAGATTGCCGTGGAGTTCGGGGACGAGTTTTAGGGCCGAGTCCTCCGGCTCCCATTGGCTGCCGCTGTCGAATAATTATGATCACATCCTAATACTCCTGGCCGCTGCTTACTGTTTATTGGTAGTTAAGGATCTATTATCTATTCATCAGCCTCCTATTTTTACCAATTACACGCTTCTAAAGTGAAGTACCAGCAGGTATTTTTCACGTTTACAATTAATGATTAAAAAAAACAAACCCTGGCGTATTTTAAATCTATTACGCTGCGGTGTGACTTATTCTGAAAGATGCAGAACTGCTCCTGTCGATGCATATATGCACTTAATACAAGGGAAGGGGGGAAATATTTCAAACTATTTTAGCTTTCCCCCTTCTTTGTCCGTCCCCATAACTCCTCCCCCCCTTAACAATTAAATAAAGAATTCTAGTCTAGTTAAGTTTTTTAAAGAAAAAAAAATGTAATAGCAGAGGCTATCAATGCATTTTCCTTAACAGCTGACAGGGCCTCTACTAACTATTTATCTATGTATCTATTTATTTATTTACTTATTTGAAAGTGTTAAATTGGCAGCCATTGGAAAGTGAAAACGAGGGCTTAACTGGGCCCACTGAAAACTTGGTGTGTGACTCCATTAATTTTCTCCTCATATTCAGAAAATATAAAGTGGTGCTTTTGAATACATAATCATATTATACACACACATGCTGCAAACGTATGCGTACTTACACATAGAAGCCTAGAATTTGCATAGCAGTTAAATTTGTATTAGGCTTGGTATTAATTATGCAAAAATCCTATCTATGTCCCCTTTAAGTCCATGAAGTGGGAAGCGTAGGGGCAGATAAGGAAAGCTTTCAGATCCATCGAGATACACGCGCGCGCACACGCCTATATATAGACAGACAGACAGACAGGTGTGCGGCGCGTGCCCCTGTGCATGATCCTGTTCTCAAATCTGCCTTCTGTCGTCCCAGATTACTGTCATTGCTATCATTTTTATTATTATTACCACAATATCATGCAAGACAGCAAACGGTCTCTCCCTCCGGCACTAAACTACAAGGTTCAGCGCGGTTGGCCATAAGGGGCCTTTTATTTTGCTTTGAACTGAGTATTTAATAAAACCGGACATTGTAATGAAAAGGACCGTCTCCTTCTCTGTGTCACAATAATATTTATCTGGTTCAGTAACTTAATCTCCTCCCCCCCCCCAATCTTCCGTCTAAAAGGGATTCAGCTGCGGCATAAAACGGTGGATTTCCTCTCCCTGCCTCAGTCCTACATCTTCTGAAAAATGAATGGAAATCACCAGCTAAGGGGGAGTGATATACAATGCTTTGGAGTATAAAATCGTTCGCAATGCGGACAATAGAAATGGCTCAGTGGAGGTGCTCGAAAGTTCTTCAGACCAAACTCATTCAGTTTCTTCGAACTGCACCGTTCTTGCCCGCAATCCTAAAAAGGCATGTGGCTGAGGCTGGTCGTGCGCGTGGGATCATTCACACGAAAGTTCCGCTGAGAATAGGGGGATTTGCAAATAGATCGTCAGGCCACAGATCTAAGTACACTTGGTCCATTTCTTTATTGAATCAAGGGGATATTCTGGCAGATTAATTTCGCGATTTTAGAAGCCCGGCGCTAGAACCAGCTAGAACCAGCGACCTCTTGACTGCCTGCAAAGGTTCCCCACTGGCAGTGGCCAGAGGTAGTTAGGAGAAGGGGGAAGAAGCCTTCCCTAGTGATTTTCAGTGGCTTCTGGCAAAGACTCTCCACGATTTCAAGAGCCCCATTCGCGGGATTCCACCTTCTTCGCGCGTCCTCTCGCAACTCGCTTTCAGCAGATCTTTAAAGGCGGAGGCAACAGAGTGGTCTCCCTGGCGGAACAAAGGGGTGGAAGTCTTGACATCCCCACCCCCAGCCGAACCCCTTTCCCCGTCTCTCTCTCTTCCCGGCTGCCGCCCCTCCCCAGACCTGTCCGGTTGGCTCCCAAGGGTCGGCCGCTTTCGAAGCAGAGGTTCCCGTGGGGTCAGACTCCCCAGCCGGCTCCAGTGCTGGGAGCGGCTCCGGATTGCGCCCACCACCGGAGAGGCTCCGGGTTTTCTGGCGGGGTGGAAGCTGCGAGGGGGATAATGAGGCGCCTGAAATGCACAGGCGAGCGCCGCGATCTCGGCAAATAGATTTGGCCGTGCTTCGAGCGGCTCTGGCGGCGCAAGCGAGAGGGGTTCGGCCGGCCGGGCCGGGCCTTTCCGCAGGGACTGTGAGGCAGATCAGACGCCAGCCAGGCCTGGGCCGTGCCGGGGAATAAACGGGACGGGTTACTGATTACGGGAAGGCAAGGGCCGGCCCGGCGGAAAGCTGGACGCGCGGCACCCGGGACGGAAGGCCGGCAAGTCCGCTCAGGCGGCCTTCTTCAAGGCAAGCCCCTTTTTTGCGGGGGGGGGGGAAGCCTTATACGCGACTCCTGCTCAAGTGCATTGGGAGGACACACACCCGCGTGCTTCCCTAACCCCAGCCGCACCCCCGTAGGTGGGAAGGACGTTCGTTGAGTTCACTGGAAAGAACTCCTTTCGCTCCTTGTTATGATGAGGAGCCTGAACATTCAATTCTGGACAAAGTTTGGGTCCAGCGGCACCTTTAAGACCCACATATTTTAATTCAAGGTATAAGCCATCCTTTGCACTTACAATTAAATGACACTTACCAGTCCATACATATAGGTGGAGGGTGAGCAGTAAATTAGCCTACAGCATAGTGAAGACGTTTAACAGATTCAAGGACCAAACAGGAATAACAAGCTTAGTTTATATGGGTTTAATTCTGGGGGGAAACGTAGTGAAGGAAATAAATACGTCAAAATTGGAGATTGATGGGAAGGCAGATGTATCCTTAACTGTGGAATGCTGAGAATCAACTGAGACAGAAGTCATTGCGGTGCTGCACCTCCTTGACTGGGGCGAGTGTAAGTGAGCCCCACCCTGTCCAGACCCCGAAGGAAATAAATACGTCAAAATTGGAGATGGATGGGAAGACAGATGTATTCTTAACTGTGGAATGCTGTGAATCAACTGAGACAGAAGTCACTGCGGTGCGGGGTTAAGGACGTTCCGGCTGCAAATCCTGGTTGCCTTCGGAAATGTTCTCCCGGATGCCCGGGAATGCGGGCCCTGCGGACACTCCAAGTCGGGCACCTGTGTAAGCTTCGCGGGTCATCCCCAAATCTCTCTGAAGGGAGGCGCAACGAGGCATAATGGCTCATAGTCACGCACAGCAGAGAGGGGGACGGTTTCCCCTGGCCCCCTCCCGAATAAGGAAGGGTAAATCTCGGGGAGACCCTTCCGACTTGCGGAGATTTGGAGGGGGGGGGAGCTGGGGGAGAAAGTGATAAACTCTTTGCATCTAGTGACCTTTGGAAAACCCAGGCTTGCTGCAGGAAGTCCGAACCCTTCCAGCCCCACCCTAAACCGAGTAAGGCTCCCCGACGGACTTAGAAGAGCACAACTCTCCTTAGGATGGTCCTGTTGAACGAGGGGTTCGCCCAGATTTGGCCCTTGTTGAAGTCAATGAGTCGAAAAACGGCTCAAGAAGTGACCGACGTGCAGCCACACTAGGCAGAGCTTCAGCCAGTCCGTGCATCCAAGGGGGGGGGGAGAGAGTGGTCACTCCTGGACGGCTTGTTGCCCATCGTGTTCTGGCTGGGTGGGTTCTGAAGCTGGCTGTG